CTGCAGAAAAGGCAGGCAGAGAGGCTTTGGAAGAAACAAACTCTTTCCCCATCCATGTCACCCGTGGCTCATGCCTGTAATCCTAGCTACCCAGGAGGCTGAGATGGGAGGATTGTAGTTTGAAGCCAGCATGGACTGGAAAGTCTTCAAGACTCTTATCTCCAATCAACTACTCAGGAAAAGCTGAAGTGGCACTGTGGCTCAAGTGGTAAAGTGCTAGCCTTGAGCCAAAGCCGCTGAGGGACAGTACCCAAGCCCAGAGTTAAAGCTTCAGGACCAGCATGTGCTTGCATGCGTGTACACACGCACGCACGCACGCACACACACACACACACACACACACACACACACACACACAAAGTACTATTGCTTAAGCCACCCCCCTGTGTGTGTAGCCTGTGTATGTAGCCCTTAGTTTACACCCAAAGCACATAGGATGAGAGATAAAACTTGATCAGCATAAAACTTGCAGTTCTTACAGTTGGGCTAGATAGAGTGGGCACTGGAATTTGCAAGTGTCTGGACCCAAAGCCTGCACCAATAGCTAACATTGTGTGCTGAAATCTGAGTGTGTCTGATCTAGGGGCAGGGCTGCTTTTCTCACTTTCAAATCAGTGACAGGTGCACAGTGCCTTCTTGTAACTGTCCACATGAATATACCATGGCTTCTTCCCTTCCTGTACCACTTTTGCTAGATGTAAGGAATGGCACAGACAGAACTAAGCAAGAGGTCATCTGGAAAATGTGCCTCTGCTGGGGATCTTCCTTCCCAGTACTGATTTTCCAGGATCTGAAGTAAACACAACTTGTTGTTCAGAGGGGTTTGTACCTGCTTGGAAGAGCAGGAACATGCAGGCTGATAAACAAGTATTTTAGTATATTGTTCTTCCTATTACTGTCACTGAACAGTTGGGAAAATACAAGTATTGTCTTTTATTGCAAAAATACCTAAAGCTTGGACTTACTTTTAAATGTTCCACTTTAAGTAAAGTCCTGTGATGGGCTCTGAACATCTGTGATCACTTGTTTGTTTTTGTTTAATCTTCTTGGTGGTTTTTATTGTGTTCTTTCAGAGGGTGAAACCATGAAGCTGTAGAAGGACTTTGTTGTCATTGTTTCTTTTCTTTTTTTCAGTGAATCATTTTTTCTTTTCTTTATTTAGTATATTTTTTATTGTAAAGATACTGTTCAGAGGGGTTACAGTTATATGAGTAGGGTAATGAGTACATTTCCTATCAAGCATTGTTACCTCCTCCTTTGTTTTTTCCCTACCATCCCTTCCCTCTCCACCTCTCCAACTCCTCCCCGCAAAGTTGTAAAGTTCGTTTTCAACAGTGTCTTGTACATCTCATTGTTACAATGGGTCAACCTGTATCCTTATTTCAGCATTTTGTTATTTTCCTTCCCCTCCCCAAACCAGAAAAATGTATATACAAGATGTAGGGCACCGGAATCAAATACTGTGGAAACAAGGATTGTATCAGGGGGAAAAACATACAAAAGAAACAAAAAAAAATCACATAATATATTATAAATACATTAGAAACAACAGCAAGAAAGATAAAACTTCTTGTGTCCCTATCTTGGGGTTCATTTTGCTTAGCATCCTCTTATATGGTCATATGTACATAGATTTTGAGCTTTTCTGCTTGTCCTAGACATATACTAGTTATTACAGATAAGGAAAACCATGGGACCTGTGTTTCTTTGGGCCTGGCTTATTTCACTTAATACAATTTTTTCCAAGTCTTTCCATTTCCTAACAAATGGGGAGGTGTCATTCTTTCTGATGGAGACAAAGAATTCATCTATATCTATATCTATATCACATTTTCTTGATCCATTCATCTACTGAGGGGCATCTCGGTTGGTTCCATATCTTAGCTATGGTAAATAATGCTGCGATAAACATAGTTGTGCTGGTAGCTTTAGTATGGCCTTGTTTGTGATCCTTTGGGTAAATGCCCAAAAGTGGGATTGCTGGTTTCTTTTCTAAGTCGTAACATTGGTTTCAACTAAACAGTATTAACACCATCAGTCTTTTATGATAGATTTCCTTATGTTCAGGCTTCTGTCTTTTTCCATGATTTCTAAACTTAATCCTGTTCTGGCAGTGAGAGGAGAGGATGATTAGCCTTTGTCCTAACAAAGGACTTCCCAGATATTAGCTTTATTCTCTGTAATTATTAGCAGGTCTCAATGTGAGAGCCTCGTAGAAACACATTTTTGAAATGCAAGCCTGAATGTAGGCTGAAATTCAGTTCTTTCTGTGTGCAGTTACGCTTCCCTCCTCCAGAGGGCCTCAAAGGACAGAAACACTTGGAGCTGAGCAGGCCACTTTACACCCTCCCCACACACAGAAATTAGATTGATCATTTGTTGGAGTGATTTTTGTGATATTCTCTTTTACAGCTCCGATTGATCATTTGTTGGAGCGAATATTGTGACACTCTCTTTTACAGCTCCCTGTTCTTTCTTAGTTTTTTGTTTTTTTTTTAGTTCTTACTCTATCCAAAGGATAATGTTTTCCTGATAGAGCAGCAGCTAATATTGATAAAACACAGGAGGAGACTGTGGCTGAGAACCAATGTGTGTGTGTGTGTGTGTGTGTGTGTGTGTGTGTGTGTACATATATATATATATATGTATATATATACATTTAAATTCATTGCTGGTTGTGGGGCTTGAACTCAGAGCCTGGGCTCTGTCCACCTTTCTGTGCTCAAGGCTAGTGCTCTACCACTTGAACCACAGCCCCACTCCTAGCTTTTTCTGAGTAGTTTATTGGAGATAAGAGTCTCACAGACTTTTTTGTCTGGGCTGGCTCCGAACCACAATCCTGAGATCTCAGCCTCCTGAGTAGCTAGGATTATAGATGTGAGCCACTGGTGCCTGGCTTAGAACCAATGTATTTTAAGGAATTTTCTCTAAAATTCTCTTTAAGATTTATCAGTAAAAAAAATAGATTGAATCTTATTTTACATTTTCAATATACAGATGATGTGTAAATTATGTATACTTACAGTACATTGCTGAGTGTATGGTATTAATATACTATAACAATCCATTATAATAATATAATCATTTCAGTATAATAATATAATAATAGTATATTATTATTATATACTCACCAATATATTTCCTGTCAAATATACCTTGTCAAATAGAAGTTTTAAAAGTCTGTACTCCTATGGGCCGTCACATTGAATACCATTACTTTAAAAAGTGTGTTTTTTTGGTAGCCTTGGTTGTTGGCTATGGACATCTTTCTGTCTCTACTTGCTACTTTGAAGTGGGTCCAGGACAAGGCAAGACCTGACGGTCAGCAGAAGGGCAGCTTTGTGTGAATGGCTGACAGGCAATAAGGAGGGTTAGAAGAGAGCCCTAGGAAGAATTTGCCACAGTTTCTGGTAAGCAGTAGGTGTCTGGAGCTGGGCATGAGGCAGCCATTGTTTGTCATGTGCAGCTCAGTGAGCATGCTGGAATCATTCACTTGGCATTCATGCCACGTTGGGATTTCAGGGTAGAGTCTAGCACCTTTGTATTTGAGCAACTAACTTCTCACAGTGGGAAAAGGAGTTCTTTGAATTCAGAGTTACAGGGCAACCAGAACTTATATTATTCTCTTAACATGATGAAATAATCTGGTTTCTTCATCTGGACTGAATTACAATTTGTCTTCTGGATATTGGGTCTCTTATGACATTTTTCCTTTTAGCTCTCCATCTACCGGTTATTTGACTCTTAACTGGAATATGAAGAATGAGGGGGGAAAAATGATGTTAGTTGTGAAAGGGTTTTTACTGAAGCAGACTAGCTGGAGTGATTTATTTAGGATAAAAGTAATGACTCTCTATCACATCTCAACCAAACTGGAATTAGATTTAAAATAGGCCAGTCCTGGAGCCAGGCACTGCTGGCTCATGCCTGTAATTCCAGCTGCTCAGGAGGCTGAGATATGAAGATTGTGGTTTAAAGCCAGCCCAGGCAGAAAAGTGTGTGAAACTCTTACCTCTAATTAACCAGCAAAAAAGCTAGAAGTGGTGTTGTGGTTCAAGTGGTAGAGTGCTAGACTCGAGGAAAAGCTAAGGGATAGTGCCCAGGCCCTGAGTTGAAGTCCCAGGACTGGCACAAAAATTTTAAAAAGTAGACATTTCTTGTGTGTGTGTGTGTGTGTGTCTGTGTGTGTGTGTGTGTGTGCGTGTGTGTTTAATTTAAAGTCATGTAATATAGCTTTTACCCCTAAGTTTAAAGAGTCTGGATAACATAGTGAGACCCCATGTCTTAAAAATAAACATGGGCTGGAAGGTGGCTCAGTGGTAGAGTGCTTGCCTCACATGCATGAGGCCCTGGGTTCGATTCTTCAGCACCACATAAGCAGAAAAAAAAAGCCAGAAGTGGCGCTGTGGCTCAGGTGGTAGAGCGCTAGCCTTCAGCTGAAGAGCTGAGGGACAGTGCCCAGGCCCAGAGTTCAGGCACCACAACTGGGAAAAACAAACAAACAAACCAAAAAAACCCATACTGTCTACCTTGGTTAACCTGCAAAGGTAGGTAAAAGAATTTACTTTATTTTGACAGCCTTATGCTTTAATGTATGTATATATGATTATTTGTGGAAATTTAAGAATGATATATACAAAATAACAACAATAAACTTACAGATCAATAGATTTAAAAGGACACAGAAGTGATTTTCTCCTTTCTCTTCTTCAGCAGAAGAGTCAGATGATACAACCTAAGGTTACACAGGTAGTCAAAAGCAAAGCTGGGTCAAGAGCCCTGTGTGGCTCGGTATACTTTCTCCTCTTATCACATGACTTCTTAGTCTTCGAACCTTCCCACAGCAGAAGCGAGGCTATCTAGCATGTTTTCTTTGAATATTTCTTCTAAGATTTGAACTGTATGTCTATTTGATTATTCTGTCACTGAAAATATTTTTGGTCACTGAAAAATTATTGGTCAGTGTCTCGCAATTGATAGTGTTCTGTTTTGACATTTAGGTTTTCCGAGGACATTAGTACAGGCTGAAGCCCTGGACAGAATCTGTGACCTGGATTTAGTGATCAGTTTGAACATTCCATTTGAAACACTTAAAGATCGACTTAGCCGACGTTGGATTCATCCTCCTAGCGGACGAGTGTATAACCTGGACTTCAACCCACCTCATGTACATGTAAGAATAGACATACAAAGAGCTTTCACAAGCTAGACAAGAAAAATGGCAAACATTTGAAAGTAGGAGGGGCTATGAATAGACTGCTAAAAGTACATCTTCATTGCTTAAAGACACATTAAAAAATATAAAACACTAGGGTCTTCATGCATTCCAATTAATTACTCTACCCAATATTAAGCTGTTAGCCTCATAAACTCCAAAATGCTGGGATTATATGCCACACATCTGGCATAGACCATTTCTGCTTCATGTTTCTTTCAAAGACTAACTCCCTGATACAGATTCAACCAGAACATAAATTCTATCTCATAGTGCTCAACTGTGGCTATTCAGTGGTAGATGGCACTTTTTATTATTATTTGGAGATGAAAGGGGATTGTGTCTTAATGGATAAACTTAATGGAAAAAGGTCAGACCTGAGTATAGATGGAATATTTATTTTTGCAGAAAATTTCTTTATGGGGCTACGTTAGCTTCACTGTTCCTAATGAGTCCAAGCACTGTCTCCTTTTGAAGATTTCTTTGAAAAAAATGCACATAGTTCTGTTCCATTATTAGATCCGTCTAAACCTTGTCATGTTGTTTGAGCAGCTGCATCCTCCTCTAGTAGCTGGAATATAGGGTGTGCAGCAAAGCAGGGCTAGGTCCCTATTTCATGTCTATCCTAAGAAGTTATTTCAATAGGAAAATAAAATGATTGGGGAGAAGTTCTGAAAATTCAAATTCTACTTCACTTTTGGTGTTGTCCAAATCTATTGATGGAAAAATTACTTAAAAATATGAAAAGCTTTACTGCTGAGTTAGTTACTCTCCGAAGTTATCTCTAAATGAATAGCTGCAATTATAATGCTACTTCCAAAGACAACAGTTAGATGTGCTAATGAGGCAAAGGCAGCCATTACCCTTCCCCCCACCGGAAAGTGGTATTCCTTCCTGGGATTTTGTTCCTTCTAGAAGTCACGTGGTATTTGCTGCTACTCTGAAATCCTTAATGAATTCTGAACATTGTGCCTGTAAGTAAAATAACGAATGGGGTATGGGACTCTTATGTGGTATACAGCCATCTCCCATCCTCATCTCTCCTGTGAAGAGTCTAACAAGCATGGAATACACATGGGATAATTATGCGGCTCACAGTAACTCAGGAGTGTAAGTCATATATACCCAAAGGCCTGATCAGTAATGGAATTTCATTGTGTTTCAAATTTATCGTCAGTTTCTGATTAGTCATTTGAGTTGTTGGAGGCTTTTGGTTCTGTTCCAGCCTGTTTCTGACAGATTTATTTCTTGTGAGTCTCCTCTGGCAGGTTTAATAGCTGTGGACACAGGAGCAAAGTTCTGATGTGTCCATTTTGCTAGTGGCAAGTAGGTACATTTTCTAGATTGACCAAAGATACAGAAAAATTAAGCTGTATTTGCCTATTTTAATATACTTTAAGCTATGTTGTTACTTGATAACAGTTCTTTAAATAATCTAAGTTTTAGAGACACTACCTGAAAACTGGCAGAAGACTAGCGAAATGCCTTTCACAAAAAATTTTTCCATATTAAGGACCCCAGCTTCAGAAGACAGGGTAGTTTTGGGTTTAGGGGCCAGAGTGCTATTGTCTGAAGGTCTGCTGCTGGAGGAAGTTGCCTGGCATTGAGATGTAACTGAAAGTGCCATGTATCAATAGCACCAGAGCATGTTTAGAAAGATGTAAGCAGTTATTAAAGCTTAAATGTCAGCTCTCAGGAAATAAGGTTAACATACTGAGATCGCAGGCCTGCCTATCATATGGTTGGAAAGCTCTGACCTATGGAAAGGCCCAAATTGTTGGTTATATTAACCAGTTTCTCTGGTACTTATAGGGGATTGATGATATCACTGGGGAACCATTAGTCCAACAGGAGGATGATAAACCTGAAGCAGTTGCTGCTAGGCTAAGACGGTACAAAGATGCAGCAAAACCAGTCATCGAACTATACAAGTGAGTGTGCTTCCATAATCTCGTGGCAAAGGACCAACTAGAAAATTGGGAAAGTCATTGGGCTGAGATGAAAAGTGTTTCTTCAAGCGAGATAAATCTTAGAGGCCCATTACCTCTCCATCCCAAAGGCAGATGAAATGTTAGGGTTAATATGTGGGAGATAAAATGTAGTGTTTTATTCAGGAACTTTTAGAACATGAGGACTTCAACTCAATCATCTCTGTCTGTTCTGGATATAAAATTGCAGCTAGAAATGACTGTTTCTTTTTCTTCCAGTTCTGTGGTTTGAATGCAGGATCTTAGATGAATATGAGGCACATCCCAGAGCTATTATATACCCACCATCTCTTTTACTTCTCTAATTAAGTAACTGAGATAATCTATATTTTGAACTCTTCCATTTAAAAACGTGGTTTTGATGTGTTTGTAAGGAGTTTTATAGAGAAAAATTAAAATGGTAAACTTGAGGTTATATAGTAAAATGATTACAAGGACTGAGCAGTTATTAGAAACGAGTCTTAGGGCTGACTATGTGCTTACCTGCACAAATGAGGCCCTGGGTGCTGCCCCCAGCTCTGCCTTAAAAGGGAGGAAAGTTTTAGGCCTGATGGGGACTGTGGGACTCTAGGCAGCTCTGACCTGGGTGGCTTCTAGACTGATCTATGCAATTACAAACACAAGGCCATGTAGGCCCAGTGGCAAAAAATTCCTGCTGTTTTTTGTTTGTTTGTTTGTTGTTGTTGTTGAGAGGCAGAAATCTGGTGCTCTGGGGGATGGAGAGGAATCTCGATTTTTCTTTTTTGCATTGTCAACAAACTAAAAGTTTCTAAGCAGCATGCAGCTTAGAAAATTATGCTGGTGACATCCAGAACAGTAGTTTATAGATTGTGCCATAATCAATTTCTTGACTATTAGACTCCCCTACCCCACCATTTAGCCAACCTTTAGCTCAGATATTCTGATCTTATTGTGATGCATCCTGGGTTCCATGATTGTTGCAAGGAGAGAGGATTTCTGAGGAGCAAAATTTGCCAATTATTTGAAAAGTAGTTATTAAGGCGGATTAGGGGTCACTCCTATAAAGGGGAGACCATAAGGCACATCCTGGCAAATACATGTTTCCATGTACCTAACAGAAGCACTTAAACATTAGAAGTGGGTATTGGGCACTTGAAGAGATGTGGAACAGACACTATGAGATCTTCCTGGAGCTTCGTCTAACCTACTACCTGTTAAAAAGAAACTGACATAATTTGTGGATGGACTGTTTTTCAGGAGCAGAGGAGTTCTCCACCAGTTTTCCGGGACCGAGACTAACAAGATCTGGCCTTACGTTTACTCACTTTTCTCCAACAAGATCACACCTATTCAGACCAAACAAGCATACTGAGCTTGCCCAGTGGAAGAATCAGAAAGATGTGATCATTCATACAATCATGTGTGTAGTATCGGATCTGTGTCTACATTAGAAGCTAGCTGAGAGAGCTTGTAGCATCTGTTCTAATCCAAATGGTGAGGTGATAGGAAAACTATCCAGTGTGAGGAGTTCATGAAGAGGACCTTCCAAAAGAAAGTGACTTTGTACATGTGTCAAGCCCTTCATAAGAAAGCAAATACAGGCTGGATTTCAAATGTCTACCCTGTTGAGACCGAGGCCTTTCTGCATGTGAGGGTGGTCGCCTGCGGTTCTCCCCTTCCTCCAAAAGCTGCCGAACCATATCACCAGCAAACCTGAGGACACCCAGGGTTCCAGCCCCAGCTTGTCTCAGTTCTCTGCTGTGTAACCCTGCGGTAATTATTGAATTGAAGCTAATTATACCCAATGGCTGCTTCTGCCTTGACTGACTGTGCCCTCATGTCCTTTTTCCCCCCTGCCTAGTAGAGTAACACCGTCTCTGCATCCCTGCTTTATGTCCCTGCTCTATCTTTTGGCTTACTAGGCTACTAAATAATACAGATGATTATTGCATTACCCTCCCTCCTCCCTGCAATTTCCTCATTTTATGTACTGAGAACAAGCGGATTGTATTGAATTTCTTCATACACCAGAAACTGAGCCACATGGAAGGTCTTACTTTAAATAGCTAGTCATACTCATGGGCTCACTGTTTATTATATGAAAGAGTCCCAAAAGTCTTGGGGAATCCTCAGGAAATACAGGAAATCCTCACTGATGGAAATGTTGAATAATAATCATATATTATATACAAAAAGAGTAATAGGACTCCATGGAATTACTGGACTTATGGAATCGTTAAGCTTTTTGTTTTTTTACTCAAGGCAAAATGAATTTTGAACATGCTGCTAGATACAGATGCCAATGGTGTTTTTCTTCTGTGAGTGACTCAGAGAGATGATAGGAGGATAGAGCCTGTGGGGTAGAGGAAAATGTTGCACTAGGTCTATGTAGGTTGAGTAGGATTAAGGGAATATAAAAATCCCCCTATTCTTGCCCAAAGATGTAGTCTATAGGGTGACCATAAAGTCTAGAAATAAAGGTATCGTTACTTTGTCTTTCATTGCATCGATAAACCGTTTGTTGAAAGATGTTCCCGGTTTCCAGACTTGTTGGCCACCTTAAATAATTCTTGCTTTCCTCTGGGAAGAACCGTGAAGGTTTTTCTTGCTGCCTTATGAATTTATATCCCTTTTTCAGACATGATTCTTGTTTCCAAGGGAGCATCTTTGAAAGGTTGGTGTCTTTTGTCAAAATGTTCAAGTGGGTAAAGGAAAACAGAAACTATTTCAGCACTTTAGTGGTATTAAAACACAACACTTAACTTTCGGAAGATGCCCCCAAGGGTCTTGAGTCTTTTCACTGCCATGCATATTCTATACAGTAAAGAATCTTTCTATTTTATAATAGTGCTCAAATTTTTTCTGGTTCTGCTTTATCTGTCTCTTTATATACGTGGCTCCTTAGCTTTCATGGGGGAAATGCAGACCAGTGTTCAGCCCATCCCCTTAACCCCAGAGAAATGCAGTTGTTTACTTTTTAGTGTTCTTTACTGCACACATCCAGTTCAGGTCTAAAACACCAGTGCATTAGTATATCAAACTCTGAGCACTTTAGATGAATTGCATTTGGGTGCCAACTGACGGGGACTAGGTGAAATCAAGTAGATGAAGTTTGGGTTTCCTGGGTAACTAAGTATATTTCCTGTATACAATTCTGACAGGGAAGGAGAATTTGTACAATTTAGAGTAATATTGTCATAGACACAACTGCAAACTGGGAAAAGTAGACTTGAAGTTATTACAGATGACTCAAACGAGGAGAATATGTGCTTTTTTTTTGAATCTTCAGATGACTTTCTTCAGTTCCTCTGGGAGCATTGCTTCTGGAATTTCTGAGAGAGAGAAGAATGGGAAAGGACCAGATCCCTGATTTCATCCTCTACTCCTGCATCCTTCCCTCTTTCTTCCCTTTGCAAAGCCAAGCAGATGATCATCAACATGGGGTTACTCAGTGAGTTTCAGCAGAAGTTGCTTTGCTGAGATCTCCCAGTGGTTGAGAGTCTTTTGTTAGGCAAGACCAGGAAGAAACAAACATCTTTCCCTTTGGCTTTGAAAGACTATGCTTGTTTTGTGTTCAATGGTCTTAAAAAAAATCTGATTTTCTTCAACAGACTTGTTAATTTTTTCCTAAGTGATTTTATAAAAATAAAAGTTAACTTGAAACTGTTTGGGCAGAAGTACAATTAAAGGAATATCTTTTCTTGTTTTTCTTTTTTTCTTCTAGTGTCATACATGTTGTTCCTTCACAGTTAAGTAAAGTGAATACCTTGGATGGGCTTTTCACAGTCCAACTAGACCTTGTACTACTTGGTTCTTCCAACTTCCTAATTCAAGTTGCTTCCCACAATCTAAACATCTGTCCTATTTTACTGGGAACTTGGAAACACTGCTGTATTTACTTACCACTGATGATAGGTGCCATTTAAAAAAATTGTTATTGTATAGTTAATATACAGAGGGGTTACAACTACACAAATCTGATAAAATCAGTACCATTCTTTTTGAACCATGTCTTGAAGGCCTGTTGAATTAAATGTATACTTTCAGGGTCATTACACATACCTCAAGAAATCTTTAGGATCCTTCTCTTCTAAACAGAGAAGACAGGCCCAGGTTGTGGGTGTCTTGGCTGGACCCTGCTGCCTATCCCCAATATCACTTGGACTCATGTTCTAGTTTGATTTTCCTGAGCTTTTTCCTGGCTATTTACTGCTTGTGTCTTGCTCTAGGCAACTCATGCCTCTGAAGTTGCTCAGTTCTGCTTGTGGCCACATAAGAATGGCCAAGTTCACTGAAGGGACTTGTGAGATTGTTCCTTTCTCTCCCCTTTGTTAAGCAAAGGAAGCTGCTAAGAGGTTCAGAGGCCTCCTTAAGTCTTCATCTATCAATAAAAGGCTGGACAGGCCAGGCTGGGTCCAGGCTAATGTGTCTTGCATGCCCTTTTGTGTCTGTTGTGCTGTGAGCCTGCAGAGCCTTTACCCTTCAGCCCTTCCTACCATGCTTCCCCACAGAGAGGTCTAGGCTCTGTGGAGCTGCTCATAAACTGGTCACTCCCTCACTTTTACTCCTCAAACAAGGCCCTGATGATAAACTCATCTTTCGGAATATGGAACATGTGGTAACCACTGACTTTTGTAACACTGTCCTTGTAATATTCCCTACCACATTAACATGGTTCCAAGGGCCACCCTATCTATTACCCTAGCCCTCCACTTCTCATGCAACAACTATGGTGGTAACCAGGGGAGATTTGCTTCCTGTCTTCTTCAGGGTGCTCTTCCCTGAATACTCTTTCTCATAGCTTGCCTCGGATAAACTCCAGTGTCATCAAAATCATAGTTGGGCCTTCTGTTGAGAAGCAAAGGCAAGTGGTAAGAAATGCCAGGTGGAGTGGGGAAGAACTCAAGGTCCTGCTGCAAGGGCTTTCTCCACAATTAAAAATACTGAGACAGAACAATTCTTAACAGATGCTGTATAGGCTGGGTGCTCATGCCTATCATCGCGGCTGTGGTGGAGTCAGAGCTTAAAGTGAGCCTCAGCATGAAATTAGTGAGGCCCCATCTAAATAACCAAGCAAATAAACTCAGCTAGATGGGAGGCATAGGTAGAAGGATTACAGTTTGGTATCTGGCCCAGGTTAAAACATGAGACTGAACAAAAAACACCATAACAACTAAAGCAAAAATGGGATGGGGGATTAAGGAGGGGGGCGGATATGGCTCAAGTAGAAATGAACCTGCTTAGCAAGTAAAAGGTCCTTTGTTCAAACCCCAGTGCTACCAACAAAAAATAAAAGATATCTAAACTCATAAATAAGTATGGTTTTTTTTTGTTTTTCAAATTAGTTCCAGAACCTGAGTCCCATCTTTGACTTCAGCCAAGAGTTTGCTGAAGCTTGCTAGAGCCCTTTGTTTAACCTCAAAGAATACACATTTCTGGATGTATTGAGTTGTTGGCACTTTGGGTATTTCTTCTGTGTTATACACACATTTCATGCATCACCTAAATTGTCAACCATTTCCTGCTTTAATAGATAACTTGATTATCTTGTCTCCTTGTCTTTAAACATGGAAACAATCTTACTTATTTAAATACATGTTTTCCTGTAGCTATAGGGATTCCTCAGGAAATCCCACAGGCCTTTTCCCTGCCTTTCCCTGGACTGGGCTTTCCAGTCATGAATTGGTAAAACAGTGTGTTTGCTTCAGCTTGGATTCTTGGTTCACAGAGCTCTGGTGACGAAATGGCAGTGGGTGGGTGGTGGCAGTAGTTGCATATAGTGTAAGAAGAACCACGTGTCTTATCTGTACTGGGGATTCACAGGCTTTCTAGTCTAGTGGATAAGTTTAATTTCTTCTTGACAATGTCTTTCTGTGCCTCAACTTGCTGGCAAGGCGGTTTGGAGGAGACTTCTACTCATAGTGTGAGTTGCTTTCTCTCTATCCTCTTCCAGTTGATGTTAATTCCCAGTCTGCCTGGGGTCACAAGAGAAGAACACAGCAACAGTTTCTTCTTTTAATATGAGAATATCATCTGGTCTTAAGTTGTTACTAATCTTTATGTATAACCCACCTAGCCTGGTTTCTAGCTGAGGAACATGTGCCAGTACTGGAAAACCATGAAGCCATATTTCAACTATGAAGGCAAACCTGCTTCCTGCCTGTGTTGAAACATAACAAATTAAAATTGCCCATAAATGCCATACTTTATCTTTGTGGCAGCAAATTGCACCTTTCTTGCCAGAATGAATGCTATTATCTGTGTGCTCCAGGGTGTTTCTCAATTTGATCTTTGTGTGTGTGGTATGGGTAGCTCATGTGTGTCAAGGGGGCCACTGTCTTCATGTATCTGCTCCTGGTGATTAGGCCTTTGTAGGAAGCTAAGTATCTTCTTTAAACAAAAGGTCTTCTCTTTCAAAAGAACTGACCTATGTCATAGATTTTTCCCTGGGGTACAAATGATTTTGTATTTAATTTAGAGAAAAGGGAAGACACGATGTAAAGTGCCATAGAATATGAACTTCTCAGAGGGCTTTTCTAGTGTTAGAATTTGTACTACTGATTTTTACACATTCATGGTTTTTAGATGAGCAGATCTCTGGGGGAATTGTTGAGTTATAGTAGCATTTCACTGTGATTGCTCCTGAGTTCAAGCCAGTCTCCTAACCAGTGCCACCTGGTTTTCGGTTTACTGTCTTGTGAAATGTCAGCTCCAGTTTCCCAAGAGGCTTGTGTTTACGATGAGTCAGAGCTTTCCCTCTGTGCCACAGCTGTCAGCCCTCTTGATTTGGGTCTGTGTGCTTAATTCAGAGTATCAAAACCAGTTATCTGTTTTGTGTGTGTGTCCTACCCTAGCTGATAATTAATTGTATTATTGGTTATTTTGCTTATCTTGCCTGAAGACTGATTTGTACTTCTCCATTTGATAGAAATAAAGTTTTTCTGCTTCTAACTAGTCAATTCCTTTACTATTTGTGTAGTGGTTCACATTTGACAGGAAACATTTCACCAATGCTCTCCTTTCATGCCATTCAGCAGCTACTACAGTATGTGCCCTCATCTCCAATTTTCAGATGAGGAAAATAAAAACACAGTGTTACATGGATAAGGTGAGAATTCATGACAAAACCAGGTTCTGAAACAAGAGCTTTGATTCCCAGCTGGGCACTGCAGGCACATACCTGTAATTCTAGCTACTTGGAAGGTTGAGAGTGGGAGAATCATCATTTAAGGCCAGTCTGGCAGAAAAGTTTATTAGATTTCTTCCCATCTCATAGCTGGGTACAGTGGGGTGCACCTGCCATTGCAAATTATGTGGGAGACTGAGATTGAGGGGATCACAGTGTTAGGGCAGCCTAGGTGAAAAGTCCATGAGATTCCATCTCCACAAAGGGAAGTGGGACATGATGGTATGCACCTGTGATCTCAGCAACAATCAGAAGCCTCGAGTAGGCAGATGGGGACACAGGCACGTGTAAAGTGAGACTCCTAAAAACAACCAATGAAAAACAGCTGGAAGCATGGCTCAGTGGTATGACACCAGAGTAGCAACCAGGAGTTTAAACCATCCAGTATGGTCCCCCCAAATGTTATAATTCCCAGTCCCATTGTTTTCCTGCTTTATCAGGTCACTTATTTGCATATCCTTAAATTACTTGTTTGTCTAGCACCTCAGCCATTGTAAATTTTAATTACTTTCTTTGATGTTATTCTAGTTTTTCTCTTCTTTAATTTCATTCTTGAACCATCTGTATGACATGAGCAGGTTCTGTCTCCATTACAGTTTAGGAAACTAGATCAGTTTACATGATTCTCAGGGCAGAAGCTGTGTGGTTACTCAGCAAAAGGAGAAGCCCCCCAGAAGGGTGATGAGCCATGGAAGAAATGCAACCTCCAGGGATTAACCTCCTGAGATGAAAGGAGAGGAAAAAGACCCGGGCCTTTCTTATGTGCACAACGAAAGACATATCCATAGCCACAAAACACAGAAAAAGTCAGTAAAACAATGGATAAAAGATAGGAACCCAAACAGATCATTCACAAATGAAAAGCAAATGGTAAGTATATGAAAAGATGCTAGAAGGCCTCACAATTAGCAAAATAAATAGTGCAAAAGCATTTTTTAACTATCCAACTCTCAAAAGTTAAAAATACTGGCCTGGGGTTAGAACACCTATCTAGCAAGCACAAAGCCTTGAGGTCAAGCCCCAGCATCACAACATAAAAAGTTAAAAATATATTCATAATGCCGGGTGTTGGTGGCTTATGCCTGTGATCCTAGCTACTCAGAAACTGATATCTGAGCATTGCAGTTAGAAGCCAGCCAAGGTAGGAAAGTCCGTGAAACTCTTATCTCCAACTAACCATACACATACTACACACAAACACACACACACACACACACACACACACACACACAGAAGTGGAGCTGTGGTCTAAGTGGTAGGCTGCTAGTCTGCTAGCTTTGAGCACAAACGTTCAGGAACAGCATCCACACCCAGAGTTCAAGACCCTCATGTATATCTATGCTCTGTTTTTCACTGGTTATTTTTAGGATAGAGTCTCACTTCACACATGCCTGTGTCCCCATCTGCCTACTTGGGGCTTCTGATTGTTGCTGAGATCACATATGTGTGTGTGTTGTGTGTGTGTGTGTATACATTTATAAAACTCATGATTGGGAGATTAATATATCATATGCTGGCTTAAGGCATGAATTGGCAATCATTTTAGAGGACAAATTGCCAGTGTACCATAAAATTTAAATTATGGATCCTTTGATCCTATTATTTTGTTTCAAGGAAGTTATCCTACAGAATTGCACCTGCACACAAACTTGTATACATTCCACAGAACCCACCCTCTAGGGCCCTTCACATCAGTATTGCCCTCAGTCCTTCGGTCTCCCTGCTCCCTATGCTTTCCCTCCCCCAGGGAGGTACCAAGGGTAGGGAAAATGACAACTGAGGCTGCTCTGTTTTCCAGTCCTCTTTTCCTTATTTATTATTTTTCTCGGAAGAATTTGTGTCTGCCAAGATTCATCTCATTCCAATGATTTTAGATTGTAAAAAAAAACAAAACCAAAGGAAGACCTGTACGATCCTCTGTGCGTGTCTTATTTTCTTTCTTTCACGTAGCACGAGCACAAAAAAGCTAACCTTGAATTAGAGGATTAAGACCAGGTTGGAATTTGGTTAGTATTTCTAAAAATTTTCCTGGCTGTATTCAGGTTTGTTTGTTTGTTTTTGGTTGGTTTGGTTTTCATTTTGAGGTAGAGTCCCACTGTGTGTCCCAGGCTGGCCTTGGCCTCTTGATCCTCCTGCTCCAGCCATCCAAGTGCTGGAGTTACAGGTACGTGTTACCACATCCAACTCTCTCACTGTATCTTTTACACACATTTATTTTTGTATGGAAAGATATAGAAGACCTGGGTGGGTGAAAAGTCTACCACTTGCTTGGAAGCAGAAGGAACTTGGAATTTGGAAATTCCATTCATGATGCCATATCCTCCAAAGTAAAGGTGTGGAAATGAAAGACAAAGGGACACATAGAAGAGAGGTCTTAAGAAGGAGTCAGGTGCATCGATTCCATTCATCCTGACTCGGCATGGTTAGTAAATGGGCTCATTAAATGAGTTTCTGATTGATACTTTTCATTTGGACTCTTCAGGGACCTCCATGTGCTGTTTAATCTCTCTTGTTTTAAACTCTTTCTGTCCTTGGGTTACTGTCATAGTGCTGCAGTAGCTGAAGAAAAATATTAGTATTTGTCCACCTTGAATTTTAGTTTTATCAACAAAATCAATCTTGACCATCTTGTAATTTATCTAAACAGAAAGACCTAAAAAAGAGGAGGCAAGGGTGCAAAGGCCGGGGTCCCAAGGAACACATTTCCAGAGCAGGACTTCTGCAAGCCGGAAAGAAGGGGAAGCAGATGTATGTATGTGTTGGAGCAAGTGCACACTTTTTTTCATCCTTCAGACTCTGAACACCTGCATACAAGCTCTTTTTGGGGTTGGTTGTTCTGGTGAACTAAATGGGAGTAAAATCATATTGGTTAGAATTGCAGCTTAAAAGTTCACTATTTGGATTAAAGAATAAAGATTTCAACAGATCTGAAGTCTAGATGAAAGCAATGAAATACAGTTCAATGGAAATATAACTCCTATGCTGAGGTATCAAAAATGCAGTCACAGAAATTGAGTGGGAAGGACTTGGCTTGATCATAGTTTACATGGGAAGAACTTAGATGATTCTTTCCATCCTAATGCACTTAATTGTAAAGCAAAACAGCAACAACAGATAAACTCTACTGCCTCCCTGAAACGGCTGATGTATTCTTAGCTCTTATAATAGAAATATGAATATTGTATCCAGATTACTTGAAGCAGTCAAATCATATAAAGCTTTGGAAATGTTGCCAAATATATTGTGAATGAAAATATGAACAATACATGGATAAGGATACTAGTATATATAAAAATATTGTGTATGTGTGTGTACTGGATAGGAAGGTAGCCCTATATTTAGGAGAAATTGCAGAATAACAACTTTCATAAGTGATTCTTTTAAAAACAATGCTTTGAGTCTTGATAGTTATTGACGATAGAAGTTGGGCGATATCTGAAGTTCTTGGGAAGGTTGTAGATTTTAGGTTGTAGAAGAAGGAAATATTTTGAAGAGAGTGTAACAGATTTGAGTATTGCAGAAGGCGTGTGTGAATGGAAGGGGACAAGTGTTAATCTCTTTCAGCTACTTGAGAGCTGTAAAGGACAGGGACAGCCTAAGGCAGAACAATGATCCATGATTCAGTGCTCCAAGAGGAAAGGTCAGTGATAAGCCCAAGTTCCTTTCCCTCCATAACACCTGTGGATGGGGTAAGGATAACATGAACAATCATTACCGTTTTTATTTTTTGTCTTTTTCATTATCTGAGATGTTTATTTAATTTTTTTTATTGTAAAGGTGATGTACAGAGGGGTTACAGTTACATAGGTCAGGTAATGAGTATTTTTCTTTTTTAACGGTGTTAACCACTCCCCTCATTTTCTCCCAGTTCCCCCCTCCTCGGCCTCCCTCCCCCACAAGTTGTATAGTTCATTTTCATCACAGTGTCTGGTGAGTATGACTGCTGAATTAGTTCATTTGTCCCACCATTTCTGTGCTTCCCCTTACTTTCCCCAAATCGTTAAATGTAGATACAAGACGAAAGGTACAGAAATCAAAAAACAGTGACAAAAGGGGAAAAACAGAAAACACACACACACAAGAAGTAAAATAAAAACAAACCTGTTGTTTCCATTTCTGTATAATGAAGTTTGGAATTCACTGCATTACAGGATTTTATTGAATGTGGTATTTATTTGAGACATTAACCAAACATGAATTTGAAACAGTTGTGAAAATACACAGTGAGAATAGAAGTAATGCTGCTATTCTATTATTGAAAGTGCAGTTAATGACAGAGGACAGTGCTCTGTCTTAAGTCTTTTTTTTTTGTTAGTCATGGGACTTGAACTCTGGGCCTGAACATTGTCTCTCAGCTCTTCAGCTCAAGGCTACCACTTGAGCCACTGTGCCACTGCTGGTTTTCTGAGTGATTTATTGGAGATAAGAATCTCATAGACTTTCCTGCCTGGGCTGGCTTTGAACTTCGATCCTCAGATCTCAGCCTCCTGAGTAGTTAGGATTACAGGCATGAGCCACCGGTGCCTGGCTCTGTCCTAAGTCTTAATGTCAGGTTTGAAATATAGATGTATACCTTCTTATGAACCTGGTTGCCAACCTAGTTAGGATCCAAGATCATCTTTAAAAGAAACAATAATTAGAATGCACCTATAAACCAACAAGTAAACCCAATGGATAGTAAAAGACAAAAAATATTACACTTGGACATGGTCAGTTAAACATGACTCTAAAGATTTACACAGTGAGACCAAAGGAGGATATTCCTAGG